TTAACTCTTTCTCCCCATTCGGCACAGGTAGGCAGCGCCGCGCTGCCCCGCGCGGCGACGCGCCGCGCGCTGCGGCTCAGTCGCCAGCGCGCACGTCTGGGAGAGGATCGGTGCGTTGATTACAACAATCGCGAGAAAGATCTGGCGCATACCAAGTCTGAGCTACATCGACGACTTGTGCTCGGCCCTGCGCACAGCCGAGGCGGGCGCAAACGCGCGCGCTGGGCGCCGCTCACATGCGCAGTCAAGCGCGGAGGCGGAGCATGCCCTGAACTGCCTCGTTTGCCTCGTCAGGGCGCTGCTTGGGCCGTCGGCGCTGGCCGAGCATAGGAAAGAGCGCGGCAAACCGCTGGTCGTTCTCGGGCCGCGCATTCAATTATTGCCAGCGGGGATGCGCGCTGCGCCGTCGGATGACGTTGCAGAGAGATGGATGAGTCGCATTGCCGAAGCAACTCGTGCCTGCAATTCGGTGGCAGGTGTTTTCCTCGCCCGCGCGCGGGCCCAGGCGCCGCGCGCGCCGCCGCGCAGGCGCAGCCTCCAAGCTCGCAGGGGCACTCTCCTGGGGGGCGCCCCACCAGTTCAGAAGAATGGGAAGAGCCATGGTACGCCCGCTATTCCAGCACGCGCACGGGCATGGCAACAGATTGAGCGGCCACGTGCGGGAGTCGCCCTCCTGGTGGCACGACGCGCCATCGAGTCGCGTAGTCGAACTGAAGAAGTTCAATGCGAGCGCGCAGGCGCCGATCGTGAAGTGAACGAACGCGCGCGTGCCTTCGCCGCGCCCTACGGCGGCCGCGATAATCGATGATCCATTGTATTTCTGCGACATGGAGCCATCTGGAGAAATCATGAGGCGCTTGCGCCGCGCGCCGACGAGCAAGGCGCCCATGCGCGCCGCGCGACAGTCGCGCGCAAGCAAGTCTCGCAACGCGCCGATTTACAGATCACTGGCCTCGAGGTTCTGGCCGCGGCCCTGGGCTTTTGCGCTTGAGAATATTCCCTCAGGGGCGCGATCTGTCAGTCTTCAGCGACAACACGGCCGCCGAAGCAATTCTATAGAAGGGCGTCGCGAGCGCCCCCGACCATCGCGCTCTCATTCACATATTTGGGTCAGCGATCGGGTACTCGACGCGCGTCGTATTTGAACGTATGCCGACCGAAGTGAACATCGCCGACTTGCCAAGCCGCGAGGAGCATGACCTTCTGGCGCAGCTTGGCGCGCGCCGCACGCAGGCGGAGCTCGCCCACGTGTTCGCGAGCCGAGCTCAGCAGCGCGAGTTTTGCAAAGCGCGCGCGACGCGGCGCCCCTTGTCTCCGCGCAACCTCGCACTGCCAAGCAGACCCTGTTGCGCACCAGCGGCAGCGCGTGCGTTACTTCACGCGCCCGGCGAAGCGCATTCATTTGCGCGGCTGGGGCGCGTGCTGCGAGCGCGTGGTCCCGTCAACGCGCCGCGCGCGATCTTCGGCATTCGCGCGCGCGCGAGCTCCGTGAAGTGCGCAGCGCGCCCCTCCCGTGAAGAAGGCATAAGCGTTGTCATGAGTATTCACGATGCCCTTGCTCGTCGCTGTCCCTCGTTCGGCTCAGCCGATGTACGCGAAGCAGCGGAGCTCCTCGTCGCCAACGACGTCTCGTCCTTTGCCGACGTCAGAACGGCGCAGGACTGCTAGCATTGGCCTGGCAGTCAGGCGGGGCGCGCGCTCGCGCCCAAGGCGCCCGTCTTCGTTGCGCAAGCGGCCAGCGACGCGCGCATGAGGCCGGCGCGCGCTGCGCAGCGGCGCGCCCCTCGGGCGGGGCCGCCACCGCCCAGCGTCCGCGGGGTCGCACCGAGTTGCAAACGCCCTCGCCACTCGTCCTCTGACGACAGAGTGCACCGCGCAGAACGGCCGCGCACCGCGCAGAGAGTCCGCAGCCACTCGTCTTCTGACGACAGCAGCGACGACAGCAGCTCGTCGCCGGCAACGCCGCCCGCCCCTGCGCCGCCGATGCGCAGCCAGGGGCGCGACAACGCGGAAAGCTTGCTAAAGAGACTGAGTGCGAAAGTGCGGTCTCTCGGGAGAATGCAGGCGAATGCCTCGGGGCGGCGCGGGCAAGTCGCAGCGGAGACCGAAGACGTGCAGTCGTGGCGCGAGCGCGAGCGCCTGCGCGCGCTGCTGGGCTCGTGTCTACGCTCCCCGGGCACGGTGACGGCTGCGGCAGCGTTCTGGTTCTATTTCGCCGAGACCCGAATGCACCGCGCGGGCATCGAGCTGGCCCCAGATGGGGGTGGCCTGCCAGCGTGGTCGCGCACCTTCGAGTCTGCCGGTACCTCCGGCAATTACGCGAGCGCGGTTCGCCCGGCTGGCGAGGCGCGGGGGCGACGGGTTGGCGCGCTCGCTCGCGACGCACCCGGCGCTAGGGTGCTCCAGCTGCATACGGATTGCTTCGCGGCGCGGGAAGTCGGGAGGGCCCGCGCGGCCAGCTCGAAGCGCGACCCGCGGGAGCGCCCCGAGAAGCGTTACCCCTCGCACGACGACCTCCTGCGTCTCCTGCCTCACGTGGCGGGCCCGACACTCCGACTGCTTCGCTTTCGCCTTCGGATTGCCGTCAGAGGGCCCGGGGGTCGCGGTGCACCGCTCAAACCCGTCGCGGCAACTTGTCTTCAGCGGCCACGAGTGTCGCGCAAAAGCCACCCATGCCACGCTCGCCGCAAGCGAACAAAGTGCCACGCTGCACCCAAGCAGAAGCAAAAACGCGCCGCACCCGTGCAGACTGACGCGAGATTGTTGGTGCACTAAGTGCCAGTCGACATGCCTTGCACGCGCGCCCATGGCCGCCCTGGGCAGAGTGCCGACGAGAACGCGGCCCTATGTCGGCCTGCGTCGCGAAATCAAGGAAGGGGCAGTTAAAGCTTATCCGCGGTCACGACCGCGGGCATTCCTGAGCCGGAGGGTCTCACCTCGTAGCGCCAGCGGCGAGGTCATGCGGAGACCGTCCGCAGGGTGGGAGGCCGTCTCAGCGACATCCTGAGAGCGGGCGGCTGGTCGTCCAGGGCATTCAAGGAATACCTGGACTGCCCAGAGCTCGAGCGCACTGTCACCAGGGAGGCGGCGTCGCTGGCATCCGCGCCCGCCGTCCCTTGATTCGGCCCTCAGCAGACCATGATTCCGCGCGCGCATCTACCGTCGCGCGCAGCTTGCATTGGGTGCCCGGCGTCGTCGGCAGCAGCGTTCGGGTCCGCAGTGGGCGCCAGGCCCGCACGCTGCCCCTTCGCCGCGCGCCGCAGTGGATTCTACCACGGAGGCGGCGCCGCGCCGCAGCGGGCTCTGCCACTCATCCGGCGCTCGCAAGGGGGCGCGTCACGCCCATCGACGGGACGTGACGCGCCTGGACGCTTGTCACCACCGAATTGCGGTAGGCGCACAAGTTCGCTTGGTCGCGGGCCAAAGTCGCATGGGCGGCAGCGGGCAGCAGCGCGCGGCCTGCAGGCGGACGCGCGCGGCGCGTCCTGCAGGCGCACGCGGATCGCCCAGCAGGCGCGCGCGCGCGCGCGGGGGAGGGGCAGGTCCGCGCGCGGACGCGCGCCTTCGCTGCACAGGCGGGGATCGCAGGTGCGCGCACGGCCCCGACGGGGCGCGCGCGCGCTCGCCGCGGCGTCGTGCGGGCGACCACGGCACATGCAGGACGGGCGGGCCCGATGCCTTCTGCGTTCTCCACACCCACCCTCACCTGGCGCGCTGCGTTGCGCGTGTTAAGTGCGACGGTGGCGTTGCGTCCAGGGGTGTCAGACCCGTGCGCTGCCCCCTCGCCGCGCGCCGCGGTGGATTCTACCACGGAGGCGGCGCCACGACGCAGTGAGCTCTGCCACTGACCCGGCGCTCGCAAGGGGGCGCGTTCACGCCCATCGAGGGGGCGTGACGCGCCTGGACGCTTGTCATTACCGAATTGCGACGCGTGGCACAATGGGGTCCGCTCGTGGGTTCCAAGTCCGCTAGGACACCCGTCGGCGGGTTTCGATACAAACAGCGCAATGGGAAGGAATGGGTGGGACGGGTCAGATGCCAAAATATGGCGCGATCGCGCCTAGCTTGCCCCCCAGACCCTTCATCCTCATCCTTCCCCGCATACCCCTCATTATCATAGCCCTCCTCCTCTCCTCACACTGCCCCTCCCAACCTGCCATCCTCCACCACCTCCGGCTTCGCGGGCTTATTTTCAGGACGGCGAGGTTGATCTAATAAGGATGAGGACGGGGACGAAGGGAGGAGGAGGAGGAGGAGGACGAGGACGGGAACGAGAAGAGCAAGCAGGGGTGGGATGCCATCGTCGTCCCAGGTCTTGTTGGCCCCAGCAGGCCCATGTTTGTTTTGCCTCTTTCCTTTCAATAAGCGTCCGACATTTTCAAGGAAGACCCCCATGCCTTCTCAGAAGACCGCCCCCCTCGCCCCACCACCTCCGATTTGTTTGTCTGGTATTTCGACGTGTTTCATGATTATACAAATTTCTTCCGAACGGCTTGGCCAATAGTTGGCCCAAGGTTGGGGCATGTGTTCTCATGACTCATGACCACGCCAAGAGTCCGTATGCTCCGATCCTGCTGGGCCCAATATGGGCCAGGCCAGGATCGATGTACCTGTATGGCTGGCGTCATTGTATGGACGTGCCCAAACCTCTGGCGGATAGAACGAGGGAACCACGAAGGCCCGATCTCTCGAGCTTGTGACCAATAGCGAAAAAGTTATTGCGAGCGCTGGGGCCGAGAGCCTTGACGCTTCGCGGACTGCGATCTTTCAGGGCGTTGCAGTTCCAGGCAACCCTGAGCGCATGACACGTGGAATCCCAGTCTCTGTAACAAAGCAGTGTCGGTGGGTTCACACCCCCGTAGCTGCTCTCGCAGCCGACCTCACAGTGCTTGCACGGGCCGCTCTCGGCAGCAAGCTGCGAGTGGCTATCCCTTGACACCCTGCCGGAGCGCACGAGAGCAATCGCCATCGCAGCACCTCTCGATCATCTGGCGTTCACAGCTTCTGGCTCGGGCGCGCCGCCGCAGCGTGCCTGGGCCTGAACCGCGCCGCCTGGCTTTGAAGGACCAGAGCCCGCGCGCCCCCTGCATGGGCAGCGCGGCCTCGCCGCGCCCGTCCGCAGGATGTCTTCCTACGGCGAGCTCATACAGGCGCTCGGCGTTCTCAGGAACGTCAAGGAGTTCGGGGACGGCATCTATACCTTGAGATCCAGGCGTTACAAGTTTTTCGCAGCGGTCGTTTTCGCCCAGTTTCGGGCCCCAGGGCCATCACAGATCGATTTGGCCCCGAAAATGCAGCATAAAGATACGGATTAAGGCTCCAGACGCGTTTCTGTTCAGCGATGTTGGATTCGTTTCGCAACGTCGTATCGGTGCCCCAGCACTGACCTTGACCTTGGTCTAGCTTTTTCTGAGCCCAGGATTGGTTCATACGCTCCCTCCCCGGCCAAGCCACGAGGGCGTATACACCGATCCTCGGCCCAGGGTGGGCCTGGCCAGGATCGGTGTTCGTGTACAGTTGGCCCCTTCCCAAGGAGAGAAGGCACGGGATCAAGACGCTAGCGAGTCTGTGTGCCAACCGCGCTTTCCAGGTCAGGATCGTGCAGCGGGGCGGTTGGCGCAGCGCCATTTTGCCGCTCATCATCTCGCTGGATGAGGAGTGCCGAAAGTATGCGTCATTGGCAATTGCCAATTTGAGCACTTGCCCCGCGGCGCACCAGCAGTTGAAGGACGAAGAGGTGCTACGGCATTTGGTACCGATGCTTCAGAGTGAGGAGGTGGAGGCGGTGGTGATCTACGTTCTCAACGCCCTCGGTAATTTTGCTTCTTCGGACATCATGTGGGAGCAGCTGCAACGCATGAATGCGATCGAGAATGTCCTGGCCGCGATGAAGAATATGCAGCGCGACGAAATCAAGACCAACGCGCTGTTCTGCATATCCAACCTCACCTCCGACCCTGTTCAGCGCGCTTGGATGATGGCTCCAGCAAACAAGACTTACGAAGTAGCTTGGAAGCTCTTGCAGCACCCAGATTTCATGATCTGCCAGTATTCTCTTGCAGTTCTGCGAGGACTAAGCGTGGAGAAAACCGCTCAGGACATATTCCCGAAGATGGGCATGTTGCCGTATTTGATCGGCATCCTCCAGACAAATTGTCCAATGTCCTTCAAGACGCTGACATTGAGCATCTTGTTGCATTTCTCCTTCCAGCAAGCCAACCACCCCGCGCTGATGGAGTCCAGCGCACTGGCCTGCGTGCATGCGGCCATCAAAGGGGATGGAAATTTCGAGTTCATCCCGCATGGTGTCTTCATCGTTGCCAACCTGTGCGAGAGCGTGGACTTGCACGATCGCATCGTAGAGTCCCCACTATTTCCAGCGCTGTGCGATCACATCCAGAACGACAACAAGGAAGTCCAGCGGCACGTCATCCGGGCTTTCATGCAGCTCAGTCTGTCTCCAAAGTACCATCACGTCCTCCTCTCGGTCGGTGTGGTCTCCAACGTGTGCCCCATTGCGATGACGGAGAGATTCTCCGTCGAGATGCGCACCAACGCTTTGCAGCTGATGGGCGCGGTGTGCGCCACCCACCCCACCACGCCCACCGATGGCGATATCATGGATCTCTTGTTCCTTATCTGCAACGCTGGCGAGCATATTGAGATTCGCAGGGCGAGCATGCTGGTCGTCGCGAACGCCTCCGCCGATAAGGCGAATGAGGCATCTCTGCTGCGCAAGCCCTTCGTTGAGGCGTTAGTCATCGCGCTGTCCAAGGCCACAGACACGATATTGATGGACTACTTGTGCCTCTTCTTCCACAATATTACCAAGATGGACAACAAGGCTGGCTCCATGATGGTCCACTGCCGCTACCATCATCACATGTTCACTTACGAGAAGCTTGAGGCTCTGTCCATGGCTTCGTCGATCTACGTGTGTGACACGTGCAGGCAGCTCGCCCAGGACTCAGTCGTTCGGAGCCAGCTGATGCAAGAGGCCATGCTCTTCAAGACCCTAGCGGACGCCTGGGCCGGGTCTATCGCCGACGACCGCTTGGCTCCGCATTTGGCATTGATGAGTTCGGCGTTCGTCTACCACTCCGACGCGCACACGGAGTTCGTCCTCCAAGGGGGCGTGCGCTTGATCATGGAGCTCTACAGCCACTCGAAAGTGGAGCATGTGCGGTTGTGTTGCCTGCTGAGTCTCCTCTACCTCGCCGAGAACAGGCAATCCCAGCGCTCCATCGCGCAGGAGCGAGGCATGCAGATGCTCCTCGCAGCCGCCGAGAACGAGACGCACGTTGATCTGGTTACCAACGCGCTCAAAGCGCTCATCCCTTTCGCATCCTCCGACGACTACCGGCCTCAGCTGGGTATGGAGGGGGGCGTTGACACATTTGCGTCATATTTGTTCTCGTCCTCGCTGGAGCTCCAGCAGCTCGGCGTGCACCTCCTGCAGAACCTGCTGGAGTTCAGGGCCAATCGCAGGATCTTCTTGGGCCTGTCGGACGCGAAGAAATGCGAGGAAGATTATTTAGAACCACTGTTGAAGTTCTTGCCCAGGTACGTGCAAGCGATGAACTCACGCAATAAAAAGAAGGCCATGTCCGACGCCAAGACTTTATCGTCAGCCGACAAGGAGCTCACCCCACACGACCCCTTCATGGTCCGCAGCTGCATCCACTCCCTCGCCCTCCTCACTCTAGAGCACAGCGAGGCGTCCTACAAGCGGCTCATCCAGCTGCAGGCGGCACACTTGATGTACGACCTGTTTTACAGCGAGCAGATCGACCGGTCATCTGGGGAGGCGATTCTGCTTTTCTTCGCGAACATCTTGCACAGCGAGGCCTCCCCCACACTCTACCCATCCACCCCTGTCTGCCTCCCTCCTCCTCCTCCTCCTCCTCCTCCTCCTCCTCCTCCTCCTCCTTCCCCCCAGGCTGACACACAGGCCACCGTCTTGCGGGGGCTGAACGTGGTACCGATGCTGTTGTCGGCCTGGGAGATGGACTTCTCGGCACATACCAACGTGCGCTGCTTGTCGGCAGTTCTGGCGATGGCCCGCCGGAAGGAGCTCAGGTCGCGGGTCCTCGTGCACCTCGACATGATCATGGCGAACATGAACGTCAACCTCAGCTCGCCGTCGCGGGACGAGAACTTTTACTCCACCGCGGCGGTCCACTGCGCGCTCCTGTGCGAGCTGACGCGCTCAACCCCAGACAGCCACCAGCAGCTGGCTGACGCCAGCATCATCGAGGCCCTTCTCATGTTCGTGACGCTCGCGGGGCGCGGCCCGCGCGACGAGGTGTGCGTCGAGCTGCTGCTTAGCGCGGTGTTCGGCATCTCGACAATGGTCGCCTCGCCGGCGGTCGGCGAGCAGTGCTTGCGGAGCATGTTGTCGCCGGTGACCCGCATGCAGCTTTTCCTGGGGTTGCTGCGGCTGCCTGCCGAGGCCATCAACAGCAACTTCTACTCGGGCACCGTGGGTGTCAGGACCCTGCAGCGCACCGCCGCTCCAGACATCACCGACGAGGAGCTCGAGGTCGGCGAGGTGGGAATTCGGGATTTCCTCAGCTACTGTGGTGTCAAGCCTGCTGATTTCATGTACCGGAACATCATCCGCACCCTCTGTATCGCGATTGCCAACCCAGAGCTTCGACATCGCATCCAGGACGCTACCTCGCTGCAGAACATCGTTCCGACCTGCGTGTTCGCGCTCAACGGCACCTCAGACATCTACTTGCAAGTGTTCGGCTACATTCTAGTGGCCATCTTCGGAGGCGAAAAGCAGCTCCGTTATGGATTTGTAAACTCTTCCGCTATCATCAATGAGTTGCTCACGTGCTGTCGCCGCTACTCTGATCCGCTGACCAGCGGCATGGGGACTAGCGTGGAGGAGCAGCTCAAGAAGCTTGGCGGCGGGGGAGGCCCCTGGTCGCCGCAGTCCGTGGCCCTGAACCGCTACCTGCTAGCAATGCTGGCGCTGACGCACCTGGCGGACCACATGAGGAACGTGTACCGGCTGGAAGATTCGCAGGATGGCGAGCAGGATGAGGAGGACAGGGAGGTTGACGGCGGCGCCGACGGGCCCGACGGCAAGTTGAGCTACTCTAATTTGCGGTTCGTTGCTAGGCTGGCTCCTGTATCTTTCCGAGAGTTGGATCCTGACATGTTGGTGAAGAACGGTCTGACAGAGATACAGGAGTTCACTGCGTTGTTGCGTGTTGTAGTGGTCCACAACGCGCTCCTGACCCGCATTGAGCTCGAGGAGCAGAAGAAAGGTGGCGAGGTGAAGCCAGAGTTGGTTGGAGCTGTGGCGCAGACAGTAGACAGTCTGCAAGATGTCAAAACAGACGCGGATCTGGTACCAGATATTTTGAAGCAAGAATTCAAGTCTCTCCGGTCAGTGCAGGAGAAGTGCCTAGGCCTCCTGAACGTCGTGGACTGGTACGTGGGGGAGAACCGGTCACAGGCGTTGGTGGTGGCTATCATGGAAAGCCTCGGCTCCCTCTCGTGGCTGTGCCCGATGAGCGTGGACATGCCCCAGTCTGCCTACAGGATCATGGCGCACTGCCCAGAGTGGCTGCAGCCAGGCCTCCTGACCGTGATGTGCAACATCATGTCGGACCCCTCGCGCATTGGCAAGGAGGACGAGCGCCCCATCGCCGACCGGAGCAGAATGAACTTGAGGCTGGGCGAGGTAGATTCGGACTACTTGTTCCCGCTACTCGCCACCAGTGAAGTAGGGATTCGGCAACGCACCCTCGGCTTGCTTGCAAACCTGAGCACGCATCCAGGCATGCTCCGCTTCGTGGTCGGTTCAGGGGTCATCCGGATCTATCAGGCGATGCCAGACCGATCAGATTTCCTGAACAAGTTCGGTATCATAATCGAGCAGATGCGAATTCTCGCCAACACCACCTGCCGAGATGACAGCCACGAGTCCTTCTGCACGATGGGCGTGATCCAATTCTTGCGCGACGCCATGCGGCACAGTTCCGATCTGCTCCACGCAGCAGCACCACTGGACACGAACAGGAAGGAGGCGGAGGAGCAGTTCGACTACTGCGAGATCCTCTTTGGAGAGTACGACGCGCCGCCCCTGGGACTGCGCATCCGCTGGGAGCAGCCACCAGTGCTGAACGAGATTCTCCCAGACACGCCTGCCGAACAGTACATCGACGCGCTGGCCGAGGGGGACGAGCTGATCGAGATCAACGGAATCGACGTGTCGTACATGGAGCAAGAAGACATCGCGCCCATGTTTCAGGACCGGCCGTTGAGGCTTGTCTTCCGCCGTCGAGTCGACGAGTCAGCACCAGTGGCCTTGGAAGCGCCTGCATTGACGGCGAAGGGCGATGCAACCCAGGATTTCGGTGGCTTGCAGGTCGTTCATGTGGAGAGCATTGGCGTCTATGGAGACCGCGACCAGTACCTTGAGTGTTTCAACCTGGCCGTGCTGGCGGTGCACAACATTGCCACTGTGAGCGGGAATCATGAGATGCTTTTCAACGAGCCGCAGATTCTGTCCATGTTGCTAGCGGCGATTCCCAGTCAGGTGATCTCCCCAGGGCTGAGGCGCCTGATCTTCTCGGCGTTGACCTGCCTCGCCCAGGGTAAGGACATGGCGGGACGAGTATTCCAGGCGATGTCCGACTATTTCATCTCTTGCGAGAAGACAGACCCGTCACTACAAAAATACATCATGTTGTGCGCCAACCTGTACTACACGGGGATGAGGCCCGAAGATATCAAGCCAGACCGCAGCATGCTCGTCTTCGTGGAGCAGATCTCCTTGGGCAGCCCCTCCAACGAGGCGAATCGCGCAGTGGCGGAGATCATGCACGGCATGGCGAAGGCGCCGAAGGATTTGCGGGTCGACTTCGTTTCCCGAGATTCTTTAGTGGTGGCTGTGACCTTCATGGAGTGCATGGATCAGTGGGAGGTGCAGTCGCGAGCATTCGAGTCTGTCTACTTCTTGACGATGGGCGCCTGCGATCCAGAGCTGTGGGTCTCCCTCGACTTGCTCCAGCGGATGGCCAGGGCGGCCTCGAGGTTACAGCAGAAGTCCGTCGATGACGATGACGAGATGCTGCGCAACCACGCAGAGGCGCTGTGGGAGATCACGCTGCGCACCTGCGACATCTGCCTCCAGTGGGAGTCGCTGGTGCACGAGGTGAACAGGTGTGCCGAGATCGACCGGTACCTGGTGACCTTTTTCTTCGACGCCCACCGCTCCCGGCCTCTCATGGTGAAGGTGGTGGCGCACTTCATGGAGACCCTCATCGACTGCTCGGAGGGCACGTGCTGGTGCCGCTGGAGGAACATGGGGATGGCAGACAAGATCATCGGATGGTTCGCGGTCCAGAGCGAAGCCATGAAGGGTGACGCGGGCGCGGCCCTCGCGAAGCAAAAGGTCATGTCGCCGCTGGCCGCCGAGTTCCCAGTACCAGCCGGCGAGAGTGTGGACAGCATGCTACATATGTTAGTGTCTGCCACAAGGGTAGACCCCACGACGACGGGCGTGCTGTTGACGGAGGGTGTGATGTCTGCCATGGCGCAGCGTATCATCGCCCACGCCGGCTTCTACAGGAAGCACCACGCCGAGCCAGAGACGATGGAGATGCAGAAGGCCAGTAAAATCCTTTCAAAGCCAGTCAAGAAAAGTTCCTGGACCCCTCTGGGGTTCATCCTGGTCAAGTTTCCGAGCCGAGTCCAGCCGTGGCGACGAGAACCTCCAGCAACACGAAAACACGTCCGAAACGAAGGCGTCGTCGTGGTCGTCGTCGTCGTCGTCGTGGTCGCCCTCTCGGCGCTCGTAGGCCAACGTGGCATTCCGGGCCATCGCGCAGCACCTCGGCGCTTGCATCAACGATGTCGAGGGCCTCACGGCGCTGAGCGGCATGGGCCTGGAGGCGCACCTGGTCTCGCTGCTCGAGCTGCCCCCAGAGGACTACCGCACGCCCTCGCTGCTGGTCTTGGCGGCCCTGTGCGGTCACAAGGCGTCGGCGCCTCGAGATTCAGTTTTTGCCTTTTGTGGACTTCGGAGGGCCCTCGTGGTCACGGTCGGACGCAGGTCAAAAAAACGCGTCGGGACGATTGTATTGCGCTGATGTCTGTTCACTATCGGACCCAGGTTGCACTAGCAGAAGCCAGGAGTCTTCTGCGATGAGGGGGGGGCAGCAGGGCGTGGAGGGAATGATGGAAGAGAGTGTAGTGGGGGTGGAAGGATAGAGTGGAGCGAGGGCAGGTGTGAAGCGGTGTGGTAAGGAAAATACCAAAACCACATTTCTGATACTCTGGCATTCCATTGAAGCGCTGCCATTGCTTTAGACTCTTAGCCTTTTGGACTCCAGAGTAGCTCTTGAGACAGTCGGCAGATTTGGTTTCGGAGCAGATACTGCGGGGTGGATGGTAGGAGCGCCCCCCACCATTCCTAGCAGCTAGAACCCCTTTGATTACTTCGTAAAGTGCGGGTCCAGGTTTTTGCTGTACATCCGGGGGGGGGTACGACAATCACTTGCTGGGGGCCACCAAGATCATTGATTGTGAGGCGATGGCGGTGGACACAAATCACGTGCTGCTGGCTACAACAAGAAAAGGAAACATGCCACGAAGCGGTGGCGGTGAACAACCCGTCCAGATCGCAGAGGTCGCACAAGAAGCGTTGCGCATTTCTGGGCCCTATTACAATGTTGCAGCGATTGGCTTGCGACCATCTGGTGCATCGATCGTCTTTTTCATTATACTGGATGGGGCACGGGCCAGAAAGTCGCAGGCCGCCGAGGGCTTCCTCCAGAAAAACGTTGCGGTCGCTTGTCAAGGCGACCAGATGATTTCTCAGGCCACCGGAAAGTATCGATTTCGTGGGGGGTCTTCTTCTAAAAGATAGCTTAACCCCATGCCATGCCGCCAGGCAGTGACAATTTCGCTAGAGATTTCCCGATAACAAAGTTGATGGGCCCATTCCATGTCGCCAATCACTGACGATTTCGCTTGAGGACCGTTCGAAGATCAAGGATCAAGGATAGATGGGAAATCGAGGATCCAGGATGATCGGGGATCAATCGAAGCGCGACGATCCAGTGGGCGGTTATTTCGTGAAGTGCCGATCCGGATTTCTTAATCCAGGGGGTGGTACCTTGCAGCTCTTCCTGCAACGAGTATGAAGCCAATCGCGGAGCAGATGTGAGGATGGAGATCCCCCCAGAGCCCAGACCTCCAATGTCACCAATTTTCCAAGACGTGGGCTTTGGAGTCTCGACCCCGTCCCTGGGACCTGCTCCAGTTTTTTGTCACGGGCCGCGTATTGATGTTCGATGGTCCAGGGGGGTGGGGGGCGGAAGCTGGCTTCCTGAGGGCCACACCCCTGAAAAAACAGTCGCCCTTTTTTGTTCCGCGGATCCTGGAAGGCAATCCTCCACGTTTGTTCCTTATTTCTCTCCAATCATCCTTCCATTTTCTGAGCATGGGAAAGGAGAGGAAGAGGAGGAGGAGGAGGAGGAGGAGGAGGAGGAGAAGGAGCACGAGAAGTTGATGACGACGAGGCAGATTTCTGCAGTGCAGTATTTGTAGGGGCGTGGAGGAGGAACGGGAGAAGCAGGAGGAAGACGAGGACGAGGACGAAGAGGATGACGGGGAGGAGGAGGAAGAGAAGTCACGACCATGAAGATGGAGGGAAAAAGGAGGAGGAGAAAGATTAAGAAGACAGCAAGAGGAGAAAAGAGGGAGGAGAGAACGGATGGGGAGGAGTTGGAGGATGAGGCAGAGGGGAGTGGAGGACGGCGTGATTAGCGTAAGTCCGCGCTATGCACCCCTCAAGGGGCCCTGTTACGCATTGCTGAAGAACTCCAGCTTCGTCAAAGTGTTGCGCACAATCGAGGCCCAGCTGGAGAGCCACGGCTCCGCGCTCGAGGCTGAGGAGCTGGAGTATTTCGCCTGCATCTTGGACAAGTCTTGTTGCCACCCAGAGCTGACCCAGATCATTGTGGGCAGCGTTTTCCGGCTTCTGTGCCTGCTCTGCGTGAAGGGTAGGACCATACAGTGCCAGTTGTTGGCTTCCCGTGCGTTGGCGCGGTGCGCGCTCGCGAAGCCTGACAGCCTGCACGTTCTGACCGACCCGTCGCAGGGGCTCCAGTACCTGCACCACGTGATGAGCGTCGCGTCGTGCTTGCGCAAGGAAGGCTTCGCAGACGAGGAGAGCCAGCACTCCATCGACCGCCGCGCGATGGTGGCCAGGGTCGCCCACTCGCTCGAGGAGAACCCGCAGGAAGGCCAGCTGGTGGACTACTTCTCGCGCGTGGCCCTCTGCGAGGCCGTCACCGCGTCGCCCCACGTCTGCCGCAGTGCGTTCGACGATCTGGACGGCGTAGCGCTGCTACAAGATTTCGGCGCCGCGCTGGAGATCGGAGGGTACCAACTATACACCCGTACCGACCCTGGCCAGGCCGATCCTGGGCCCAGCATGCGCCTGGCCAGAATCGGTGTAGGTGTACAGTTGACGCCCTCCCAGGAGAGGGCGGAGAAGAAGGCCTCGAGCACCGTTGCGCCGAAGGAGGTGGAGCTCGCCGCTGGCGGGGTGCTGAACAGCCTGATCACGATGCTCCACGTCCTCCTGTGCGTGGTCTTCCGGCAGGGCTCTGAGAAGGAGGCCGCGACGCTTGGCATGCAGATGGCCATGGCGCGCGTGATGGGTGCCATCGGGCGGTTAGCCCTTCCAGACGCTGGGGAAGACGACGAAGAAGAGGCCGATGCCGCGCCCGCCGCGCTTGCGGAGCTGCTGACGGGTGACATCCGTGTCATTTTCTACCTCTCGGCACTTCTGCGCGAGGTTTGCTCCCAGCCGTTCCGCTCAGGGTTCCTGGCGATGGTGCGCACGCCCCCGTTCTTCTTGGCGCTCGAGGCTTGCGTGACTCTTGCCGTGCAACGTCTGCAGCGCGAGGTGAAGCGGGAGCCTCACAAGGACATCCTCCGGCCGAAGGTCGTGCAGCAGGTATCTGTGGAGTCGCCCATGGCCGGACGCGTAGACAATTTCAGCCTCGCTTTCGTGTTCGAGCACGTTTTGGTGTGTCTGAGGCACAGCTTGGTACAAGCCATGTACGTGAAGGCCGACCCGGGCAGCAGCCGCGCGGACCCGTGGCATTGGCAGGCGCAGGAGAAGTTGAAGGTGCACCTGGAAGTGATGACTTGGCTGCCAGAGGTCATGCGGCAGTTCGTCGACACTCGCGCGATCAAGGTCGAGGCCGTCCGCTACCTGTGCGCTGTGGCCACCTTCTACGAGGCCCCGCAGGCCCAGCCCCAGGACGCGGACTATCAGGAGGACGAAGAGGGTGAGGACATCGTCCCAGCAAACCCAGAAGAGTCCGGAACATCGGCTTACAGGTTGGCAGAGGTATTCTCTTTGTCGCATCCTGACGTGCTCGGCCTTCTCACGGAGGTGCTCGAGACCGACGAGGACCCTTGCACGCTCACTCTGGCCATGCAGGGGGCCGCGAATTTGGCCAGCTACGAGCGAAGGCGGCGGCTCGGCCACAGCCCACCCACGGAAGAGCTCCCTGTCGACGGGCTCACGGGGCTCGTGGCGGCCACTGTTCGAACGCTGCGCTTGGTCAGCTCCTGGCAGCCGGAATACGTCAGCGACATGCTTCTGAGCGCCAACAGGTTGATAGGGCAGCTCCTTTGTTGCAACAACACTGCGATGTCGAGCAGGCTCGTCACCCTCGACATGTTCAAGGCCATGCAGGAGATGTTTGACGTTTTCCTGAAGGATGCGTTCAAGTTGAAGACGAACAAGGAGTTCCATCTGCAGGTGCAGAGCAACATACAGCTGCTGAGGAGTTTCGTCTGCGCAGGCTGCCTTGCAGAGGTCGCCCTGGAGCAGGAAGCAGCCGGCGCGCGGCAACGCAGCTCCGACGCCCAGCGGTCTGCGGCGTTGAGCTCTTTATCGACAGGCTTGGACGCACCAGAGTTGGTGAACTTGATCGTGCTGACCGCCGGGACCCTTGTGGCAACAGGAGGCCAGGCACGGCAGTGGAGGAAAGGCGCCCACGAGGAGCCAGACGCCGTAATCTCTTCTGTGTTCGATGACGTGACCGCCAGTCTCCAGACCCTGCTGCGGCGCACCGACATCAACGGCGGGATCGATTGGGACAGAGTGGAGCTTTTCAGATTCGAGCAGATGATGAAGGACATCCAGGCGCACCGCCGCCAGGTGTCAGGGATAGTCGACGATGAGGTGTTGCTCAACCTCTTGTATCTGATGACCAAACAGGGTTATGTGTATGGGAACCAGCATTTTCCAGATTATCTGATGGAAGTAGCCTATAGCCAGCGCGAGAGTCATACCACCATGCAGGACATCGCAGCCGTGTGCTTCGCGATGGTCACCGCGCTGGGCAAGTTGCGCAACGGCGGGCAGATCAATGTCGCAAATGTGGTCAAGAACCATGCGGAATTCGTCTTGTCGTTGGCCCAAGTCTCAGACCCACGTTTAAAGTTGTGGCACTACCGGCTTCTGACCCAGTGGACCAAGAAGCCGCACGTCCTTAAGGAGATCTCTGCTGATGCCGCTGCGCTTCGCTTCGTCATCGACGCCCTGCTGGATGAGAGTCTAGGCCGATACAGCGTAGTGATCCTGCACAACATCAGCGTCCTCCGGTGCGCGACGGTGATGAAGGGCAAGGGGCAGCTGGCAGTGGCGTGCGAAGCGTATCGGCGCATGGTGCCAGGCTCTCAGCAAGGGGACGAGGCCAACCGGCGGATGCTTCGCAAGCTTGTCCTGGCTACTGTGAGGAATGTGCTTTTCGGTGTGGAGGACCTTCAGACGGAGCTTGGGGATGAGGACCTCGCGGCAATAGTAGAGCTCGTGACGGCCATAGAGGCGCCAGACGTGGCCATTTTCATGGCGATGCTGATGCACGTGTGCGACGGCTGCTCTGCGGAAAGAGCCGCCAAGTCGTTGGCGGGCCATGGGGCACTGCTGGAGTTCCTCGTGCGCAATGTCTACGGTTTCGCTTCCGCTTGCCAGCCCGGCGCGGGAGACATCATCGACGTGGGCAGCGCCCAGGATCTCTACGGCTGCGTGATGCAGCTGCAAGAGCCCCCCGCTCCCAGCGAGGGCGAGGGTGGCCTGAAGGAACCAGGCTCTCCCAGCCAGCAGCGCGGCCTGCAGCCAGCAGCCAAGGGGCTGACGCCCCCACCGGGGCCGACGTCTCCCGTGAAGGGCCTGGGCAAGAAAATGACCCTGTACCAGCAGAGCAGGCGAAGGCGGGTAGCGACCTCCTCTGGCATGCAGGTCGTCCAGGAACGCGTCGTCGACCAGGGCAATGCCAAGGCTGGGAAAGGTGCCGAGAGGCAGCTGAAGGAGTTCTTGTATTTCGCAAGCGTAGAGGTGCTGAGTCACGCCACTTTTGTGGAGGGCAGCGGCGGGCCGCTGGCAGAGGGCGACGAGGATGGGCAGCCGGCGGCGGCGGGGCGCGATTGCCTAGAGGCATTATTCGGACGGAACCCGATCACCGCCTTTCTGAAGACGCTCCGGGAGCAGGTACAACTGCACGAGCGGAAGCGCGTAGTGTTTTCGGACCTTTTCATGCACGTGTCCGCCAAGTTCATATGGCATTGCTGGAGCAACCCGATGTTCAGGCGGCATATCGACACGCCGCTTAACCTGGAGGCCCTGGCTGCTCTGACCCCATTCTTCCTCGAGTGGCCCAATCAGGATGTCCAGGGATTGACGCTCGAGATCTGCTTGTACGCCGGGCTTCACCGGTACCCAATCGTCCGAGACTACTTGTGCGAGAAGCACACCAAGTTCCCAGAGCTCACCGCCGCGGCCCTGGGGCACGCCATGGTGGACCCGGAGGGCGACGTGGCCATGAGGCAGGCCATGCAGTACCTGAAGGTCTTCGCGCAGCTGCTCAGGAGCCGTTGCCTCAGCTCGAAAGTAAAAAATTGCATAAACATAAACTTTCGGAACTACGCGCGGACTTCTTGGATCTGCGCTGGGCTCCCCTGGCGGCGCCGCCCCTGGCGCAGTCCGCGCGGCAGGGAGGGGGTCCAGCGCCGATCCAAAGAAGCCGCGCGGACCTCTAAGAAACTATGTTTATGCCGCTTGTTGTTCCTCTACAGGAGCCGTTGCCTCAGCCAGAAGGGGCTGCGGCGCCTCGTCATTAGCCTGCAGGGGGCCATGCTGGCCTCCCGCCCGGAGGGCCTGTGTGCGAGTCTGGCCCAGAAGGATAGCCAGCTGTTCGGCGAGCTGCTGGAGCAGCTGAAGACTTACTGGGAGGCGGGGTACGTGAAGCAGGGCATGGCCGTCATGATCGCGCTGACCGTGGGGTCTCACTACAAGCCGCTGCAAGAGCTTGATTCTTTTGTGTTGCACATCCTGGATTTTGCACCCTCACTGTTAGAGAGCGAGTTCGTACTTTTCTTTCCAGTGCTGTGCCGCTTGGCGTCGCTTGGTGGTAAGAGGATCCAGTTGCCAATGCTGCAGCGCAAGGTGCACGTGCGGGTGGCCCGCCTTCTCGAGAAGGCGACGGGTGAATTGGAGGCAGAGCTGAAGAGCGGTGAGCCCGAGAAGACTCCTGGCATCGCCGAGGGGGCATGGAAGGAGCCCAAGCTCGGCGCACGACAGCGGATCCAGTGGATCCTCGCCTTCTTCGTCACCTTCGCGAGCGTCTGCGACCCCGAGGAGGGCGACAACGTCAACACGCACGCGCCGGACGTGCACTTTGACAGTTTCGTGTGCGTGGATCTGTTGCAGATTTTGATGAGGATCCTCCGCACGCAGCCTCACCCCTTCGAGGCGTCTGCAGCCTGCTTCCTGATTAGCTGCGTGTCCTACGCGAACACCCTGCCGGCCTACATGCCCGATCTGTTGAGGGTCTCCGTTAAGGCTTTTCCATCGTTGATCGACGAGCCGACCGGGAAGTCGCGCGTGAGGTCGCCAACCGCCGAGGCTGGTCCAGATTCCATGCTGCACTTGCGCTTACCGTCCAGCCAGCGCATGGAGCTCGGCCTGCGCCGCAGCTTCATTCACCTGTTGGCGAATGCAGGGTACTTACCCGCGTCGAGTCCTTCGCTTACCAGCAACGCCGCCGCGTTCAGATTCTTGGTGGGCCTCGGGATCGAGCACGGCCTCTACCAGGACCCCGCAGCGCCTCTGCACACGAAACTGTATTGCTTGGCCCACATGGTCACCAGGACCGACGACTACAATGTGCTCTTCGACGACTCCGCGATGGGCGGCAGCGGCCTGTTCGAGGTCCTGACGAGCGCTTCCAAGCAGGTGTTGGAGGAAGATGCCGACGAGACGTGCGACCTCCGCGTGATCTGGGCCAACTCTGTGGTGACAATAGCGAGCAGTGCGGGCACCACGCTCCTGACTAAGCCAGAATTCAGGGCCCTGCTGCTCACAGCCATCGGCTTCGCCGAGACCATTCTACACGAGACGTGTGGGCCACAAGGGCTCGAGGGTGGCTCCAAAGGCCTCGGGTTGGGTTTCGAGTTTTCGCGGAGCCTCCTCGCAGCTTTGCGGCCATTGGCCCAGAAGGTGGAATTCAAAGAGCTCCGGCAGCCCTACATCCTGTATCTACTTAGCATGGCCAGCAGCGCGTTGTTGCCCAGCCTTCGCAACCAAGCGCTGGATAACCTGCACAATATGATCACCAAATCTACCGCCCAGGATCTGATCGGCGCGCTGGTCATGGTCACGTCCAGTGTGGAGACGTTCAAGAGGATCATGTGCGGAGGCAACGAGGAAATGGCATCAAGCTGCATTCGGTGCGTGTGCTCGCTGGGAGAGCTGGCGGGCTACGAAGTCAACACACATCTCCTTTCCGTGCTCGAGACCGTCATCGATGTGATCGGCAATCCGTCCATGTCTGCCACACGCATTTTGGGCCTTGGGGAAGCGTTCGTCTCCCTCACCAAGGTGCGGGCATTCGAGGTCATCGATGCGATGCTGGACGTCAAGGACCTCACCGCCTTCCTAGGGCTCGCACGCTCGTCCCAAGCTGTCCGCCGCGAGCTCGTCGGCCGATGGCTGGAGACGTACGGCTCCTCACTGTACGAGGTGGACGAAGTGCTGGAGGTCTTCCGGTCGTCCACAGCGCGCGGCTTCCTCCACATCGCGGCGCGGTGCACCCTGAAGCCAGAGGAGGCCCAGGATTTCCGCCGCTTGGTGTTTGCAGCCATCGAGAAGCGCGTGCGGGAGTGGCGCGGCAGCATCTCTGGCCTGAGGGACTTCCTGTCGGAGCCACTCCTGAGCTCCATGCTTCCCATGTGCGAGCTACAGCCCGACCTGACTGCAGCAATGGCTGCGCTCATGCACTCTTTCATCACATGCGACGAGAGCTTCATGCTGGACCGCATCTGGAGCGGCGGACATCTCGCGTGGTTGTGCCGCTGCATGTCGCTCAAGTCCGCCCCGCAGGTGGTCACCATGCGGAGTGCTGGTCAGACAACGGGCTCGGTGTCCTCCAAAAACTCCAAGACATGGGAGAGACACGTAGACCTCACCGTGTCACAGAGCATGATCCTAAGGGTCATCTGGGAGTTGTACAAGCTATACCCCACTGAGCTGTGCGCGAAGGCGCTCAAGAGCGACTGCCTGATCAAGAATTGGCAAGATTACATCGCCTACTACTGCCACCATGCCTGGCCGCTGCGAGAGTCGACGGAGATCGAAGAGGCGACCACTACCGCCATCATCCTGGCGATGCTGCTCGCGGCAAGGGTGTCTCACGACTCTGGGGAGAGTGCGAGATCGCAGCTCATCCAGCAGGGCATGCTCGGACTGTGCTTCACGGTAATGTTGCCGCCTCCGCCGGTCCAGAAGGCTCTGCTCGCCAGTATAGGTGCGGCAGAGGAGACCCCTGGCGCAGAGGACGGCGAGCTCAATGAGGTCTCCAAAATGCCCGAGGCCAAATTGATCGCAGGCGACATTGCCACTCTCCTGTTCAGGCTTCCCGACTCCTTCAAGCTGCTGAAAGCCAGGCACTTTGCCGCGGTGCCGTTGGCGATGTTCTCACAGTTACACAGCTGGCGCCACGTCGTTTTCGAGAAGCAGGGCAGCTTTAGCGCGGTGGAAACCGTCAGCTTGCTTGAGCGGTGTGCCAGCTTATACATGTCCTTGGTGTCGTCTTTGTCTGTGGAGTGGTGCTTGGAGCACTTGGGGCTTCACCGCATGAGTGTGATGGGGCCACTTTTCCTAGACTTGTGGAGCCGCCACGGCAACCCGCTGCTCAAGCAGCACTCGCTTCGGCTGTTCACCAGCTTCTGCCAAGTGAGGGTCCTGTACGTACACTTCCTGACGCAGGAGTCCCGGGCAGACGCGTTGCAGCAGGCAGTACACCGCATCTTCGGCGCTTGGGACGTGCGTGAGCTCAGGCACGTGGTGTGGCTTCTTGCGGCGTCGCTGGCGCACGCGCTCGGCATCCCGGTGCTCCCTGACCACATCGAAAAAGCGGTGAAGAGGGCGTTGCAGGACAGGGATTGCGTAGAGCTTAGCACAGTGTCGGACAATCTGGGCGCCGAGTTGGCCGACCAGATCGCCTCGAAAAACATGTTGCTCTCGACGTTTCTGACGCAGATGATCAGCTGGTGCGAGCAGCCCCCTGGTGACACTTATAGCAGGTCTTGGTGCCTCTGGATGGTGGCCGCTATTCTGAAGCACGGGGATGTGACTGGCGCCGCGGCCATAAGGCGAGCCGGCGAGGATGACCAAGATGACAAGAAGAACCCAGAACCTACAGAGGAAGACAAGGAGCCGGACGTGATCCTTGTGCTCCCGGGAATGCCCGAGGAAGAGCACCTGCGCCGCCGCGCTAAGTTCGCGGCCGAACTGGCGGAGGTCGGCGTGAAGCCCGCTCAGGAGCAAGCAAGCCCCGACGGGAAGCCAGCGGCAGGCAAGGCTAAGGCCGCCGAGGCCCCTGAGGCCGCACATTGCAAAACGGCCTGGCTACGGGAAACGCCTGCGCTCTCCGCGACATTGGCCAGTATGACTGCTAAGTGCATCCAGAGCGACCGCAAGGAGTTCCGCATGTTGGGGTGCGTGACTGCGGCGGCCTGCTTGGCCGAGCTGCCGTTCTCTCCCCCGCACTTCGCCGAGGCCCTCGACGGTGAAGTCGTCGTCAGGTGTGCGGAGTCCAAGGGAGAGCGGTCCTTGAACGTATCGGCCTTATTGTTGCTGTCCACCATCTCCTCGTTCAGGTTGCCGCTCAAGGCGCAAAATCTGTCCGAGGCGTTCCTTAAACGCTTCTTCGAGCTTCAGAGAGTCCTCTTGGAGGGTATATCTCGGTGCGGCGAGCACAGCTTCGGGCTTCTGGCCAGCTGGCTGGCGGAGCAGCCGCGGGGCGCCCTGCTCGAGGCGGACCTGCGCTGCCTGGCGGCCTTTGTCATCGGGCAGTGCATCGCCCCGCCCCCTGCCACGGCCCCGTCGCTGGACCTCGATACAGTAGCGTCGGCCAGTCCAGCCAGAGTGCTAGAGGCAAGCCCGATGGCAGCAAACAGGAATGACCCTCCTGCTGTGGCGGAGTGCGGCCCACCACCGGCGCTGTTGTTGGACTTGCTCGCGCAGGATCCTGGGAAACAGAGGGGGGACGGACTGGGGAGAAGTCGACCAGGAATGACCCATTCATCGCAGATGCGGGCATGAGTGCCCCACCGTGCCCAGACATACTGTGTCTCGTTATGAGGGGGTTGTCGTCGACGCATCGGCGAAGTATAGTCGACTCTACAGGCTTACGCCACATCCGCCGACCCCTTCTGTGAGTGTTGCGAGGCCAGGAGTTTCTGGCCAGCGGCGTCTTGTGTGAGGGTGCGGTGTCGCGCGGGTGGTGGCAGATACGTAGGGGGTCCAAATGTTTGCGTGATGCCGGTGGTCTGGGGCGTGTTTTGCGAGCGCTTTGCGTGCTGTGCACCCGGGTGCGGGGTGTCCTTCAGGGAGGTCGGCCTTTCGACCCGCAACCAAGTGGAGGAGCACTGGAAGACGACAGGAGCAAGAATAGTGTGTGGAAGCTGTGATCAGCGAAGCATCACAGCGAAAGATGTGGCAGATGAATCGAAACGGGTGAAGAGGCTGTTGACGTTCGCAGCGCGCACGAAACAGTTCGCGCGGCAGCAGCACATTAGCGCCGAGCAAGATAGTGAGCACGTCGCGAGGAAGAATAAGGTTGTATGCGCGGAGTGCATTGCAGTTGGCGTGACGGCTCGCAATACGGAAGCGTCTGGGGGTCTTTTGGGGGCCTCCTGGGGGCCTCTTGTGGGCTCCTTGGGGCGTCTTGGCGGTTTCTTGAGGGCCGTTGGCGGCCTGTTGGGGCGCTCTTGGGGCCCCCTGGGGCTCGTGGGGGCGGAAAGCTAGATTTTTGAATTGTTGGTTGCCCTCTTGGGCCCCTCTTGGTGCCGTCTTGGAGCCTTCTTGGGCCGTTTTGGGGACCTCTTGGGCCGTCTTGGGGCCATATTGGACCGTCGCGGGGCCGTCTTGGGGGCCTCTTGGGCCGTCTTGGGGCGGTTTTCGGGGCCTCTTGGGCCGTCTAGGAGCGTCGGAAAGCCCAGAAGGCGGATGTGTGAACATTGTACGTTTTACGACGGGAATAAATACATTTCTGCGTCCAGGGACCGTCTTGGGACGCATCTTGGGGGCCTCCCAGGGGCGTGTTGGACCATCTGGAGGCCATTTCGGGTGTCTTCGATCGCTCTTGGACCGTGTGGGACCATGTTGAGCTCTCTTGGAAGCCACTTGGAGCGCTCTTGGGGCCGTCTTCGGGGCTCTCTTGGGCTGTCTTCGGCGCCTCTTGAGCCGTCTTAGCGCCTTCTTGGGCTGTCTTGGGGCCCTCTTGGAGGCTTCTTGGGCCGTCTTGGGGCGGTCTTGGGGGCCTCTTGGGCCGTCTGGGAGCGTCGGAAAGCCCAAAGGGCGAATTTGTGAAAAAAA